TTTTGTCATTGGGGATATTTGACAGGACTTACATTTTTTGGTTGGCAATAGGTGTTAGAAACTTGAAATTTTGGAATCTAAACTCAATGCAGTTAACATCTCAAATGACCTATCTCAAATCTGTACAGCTGTAGTGAATCTGGTGACTTTTTTTAACTCAAGTGAATGTTGACAAGCTATGGTTGCCAAGCTGTGTTTTGACTTTTGACTTTTGACTCAAATCTGTACAGCTGTGGTAAATCTGGTAATTTTTTTTACTCCAGCGAATGTTGACAAGCTGTGGTTGCCAAGTTGTGTTTTGACTTTTGACTTTGGACTTAAATCTGTATAGCTATAGTGAATCTAGTAATTTTTTTTTACTCAAGTGAATGTTGTATAGTTGCTGCCAAGTTGTGTTTTGACTTTTGACTAAAATCTATACATGAGTTGCTGTATAGAATCTTGGCAATGGATCTTAATAGAATGTTGTATAGAGAACTTGATCTCAAATCTGTACGTTCAGTGTGTTGTGACTAAATTCTATTAATATCAAGTTCTCTAGTTCTTTTGCTTACACGGCTATTTTGGCTATTGAGAAACTGTCATATTAACTAGTTTGATACTGTGGATTTTAAAGTGCTTGAATCACATGGTTGGCATTTGCATTGAAATGAAGCAAAATGCATGTTTTAATATGAGTTGCTATTTTATTGAAGAAAAGCCCAGATTTTTTGCACTCAATTTTTGCTGAATTTTGGTCTAGAAAACAAAGTTTTCGAGCTCATTTTACGAGCTTAGCTCGAGTACTCAACCTCAAATCTTATACTAGTTCGATGATGCGATTAAGTACAAGACCCATAGTGCTCCAGTAGACCCTGTGAAGGTGCCCCAAGGCCCAGTGACACAGGCACGAGGTAAGAGATTCAAGGAGTCGCTTCAAACCTTGGTTCATGCCGTCCAAACCCAATAGAAACCGCCCATTGAAGGAATTGAGTTGGAAGATCCTTGCAAGATGACTAAAGTGTTGCTTCCAGTTTATTAAGTCTTCGTCACGGCTATAAATAGCCTCAAGTCGGACGTTACATTCAGTTTTGAGATTATTGAATACAATTTCTAGAATTTCATCCATTTCTTGTGGCTAAAATCTCTTAGTTTGAGAAAACTAAGTTGAACATCCTAGAGTTGATCCTAGGTTGCTCTTGACTTATCAATCAAGCTCACACACTTGATTGTGGTGTCCTCTAGCGTTGAATCTGTTCTTGAGTGGTCCAAGTTCGGGTTCAACTCTGTCAAATCATCAACGTGTTCATTTAGATTCGAAGTAGCTTCCGTGTCTCGCATCAATTGGCATCAGAGCTGGTTAGAGGTATCACATATGTCCCTTTTTATTATTTTTAGAACTGTTTTAGTCTTCTAAATTCGTAGCTCAAGTGTTAGGGTTTGTCAAGTCCGAAATCTGTCTTGCTTGTTTCCTTGTCATAGATCTGTCTTTGTTGTTTAGTTGTTGTCCGAAATTTCTGTCCAGTTTTGTCTTGTATTTATGTTCTGGTTGAGTCCGAAATTCTGTTGTGTTAGTTAGTCGTGACTTAACCAACAAGAAAAAAAAAAGAGTCAAAAGAAGTTGCATACCTTATTGTCGTTCTCTTGAGTCGTTGCTGGAATTAATTTGCTGGGCTGCCGAATCTGTTTGCACTTGTTTCTTGAACCTTTGTGTTGTTGTTTTGCAAAACTCGAACATCAAAACCTTATTGGGGAAGTCTTGAGCTTCTTGGACCAATTTTTTGAAGTTCTTAAACCACTAGAGGTTAATCTTGGAAGTCTTGAAACCTGAAATAAACCTTCAACCATGTTCTTGTTTCATGGACTTTGATCTTGAAATCAGACGAAATTGGAACTGAAATCTGGTTTCTTGAAGAGCCTAGTAAAAAAAAAAAAAAAGTTTGTGTGACGGCTAGGGTTTCTCCTTGTCACATCTTGTATGGGCTTGTCCTTGTAGTACAAATCTGTCCAAGTTGTTTTCCGTTAATTGCTGTGAGATTGTGGTCTAATCTGGTTGGCTTTTGTGTGACAACAACCCAGCAAAAGTCAAAAAAAAAAAATTCAAGAAAGTCGGCTCCAGCCTCCAATTCTTGACCAGCAAAAGTCAGCTCCAGCAAAAGTCAAGAAATCCTAAGTTTCTTATTCTTGACCAACCTCCAAGTTTTACCAAATCTGGTGCAAACTCTGACTTTCAAATCTGACCAAACTCCAAGGTTTCCAATCCTTGGCAATCTCAAGTGTCCAAATCAGATCAAACTTCTCAATTTTCAAATCTTGAATTCTTGAATTTTCCTAAAATCGTGTGGAGCAATTGTGACACTCGATTGGGCTGAGTTTTAGGTAGTAGATTGCCCATCATTTGAGCAGCCTAAGGCCACCCGAAATATCCCAAACCTGACCAAAAGACCACGGACCAGTAGCTCCACAAATTCCAGGAAAACAAAAAAAAAAAATTGGTCTTCGGGTAGAGTCTTCTAGGACTCTTAAAATTTCAGCCTTGAGGTCATTTGTCTTGTTTTCTTTTTGAGTCATTTGTTACTTTTCAACTATAATTCTGAGTCTTGAGTCACGCCTAGATCCTCATTCATCTCCATTCATTGCTACTATCTTGTATCACTTGTTGAATAGTCAAGGACGAACCTTGCGGTGACGCCTAATTTGTTCAACCCGAGCAACTAGCGAGCCAAAAAATTGCTTGGTGAGATTATTAGAGAATGATACATTTGAGTGAAACACGAGTGTGAATGACCTATACATTGTATTAAAAAAAGAGAGAGAGAGAGAGAGAGGAACTTATTTTGTTTATTTGTTTTGCAGGTGAACTAAATATGTCTAGTGAAGTTGGTGACCAAACCATGGACATCAAACTACAGTTGGAAGCCATGATGAGGGAGTTCAAACGATTGCTTAAGAATGAAATTGAACCATTGCATGACCGGATTGATCAGTTGGAGAACTCGAGATCTCCACCTACCTCGAGTAAGCGCAAAGAATCGACATATTCAAATAATGAAGAGGAAGCGTTTGAGGGAATGTACCAAAATGATCAAAGGTTCCAACGTCGAGGAGACAACACCATTAAGATTCCCTCATTCTAAGACAAATCAGATCCCGAGGCGTACTTGGAATAGGAACGAAAAATTGATTTAGTATATGAATGCCACACCTATACGAAGGAGCAAAAGGTGAAACTAGCAGCCGTGGAATTCACTAACTATGCCTCTATTTGGTGGGATCAACTTAGACTAAGTCGAAGGAGAAATCGTGAGAGACCTGTGAAAACTTGGGAGGAAATGAGGAGTCTGATGAGAAAAAGGTTCGGTCCGAGCTACTATAGCCGAAATCTACACCGTCGGCTACATGGTCTCACCCAAGGGTCCATGTCAGTTGAGGATTATTACAAGGAGATGAAAATGGCCATCATGAAGGCGGATTTGCGTGAAGATGGAGAGGCCACTATGGCTCATTTTTTATATGGATTGATGCCCGAAATTGTCGAAGTAGTGGAACTCCAATACTACCTCGACATGAATGAAATGCTCGAGAAGGCAGTTATAGCTGAACGGCGCCTCAAGAGGAGGGGTACTGCGCGACAAAGCACTACTTATCAAGTTGGAAATTGGCGCACTTCTCAACCAAAAAGGGAGGAGAAGGCCGCAGCTCCTTCTCACCCTCCAAAGGCCGAATGGCCTCCCTTCCAAGGCAATGGCCAAGCCTGACTTTAAGGCTAATAATGGAGCTTCCAAACCGCGTGGTCGAGACACCAAGTGCTTTAAGTGTCAAGGATTTGGTCACATAGCATCTCAATGCCCCAACCAAAGAACCATGCCCATGTTGCCAAATGAAAAAATTGTATCGGATGAGAAAGAGGAGTACGAAGGGATGCCGCCTCTAGAGGAGGATGAGAATGAATCGAGTGAGGAGATACCTACGCATGAGGAGATTGGATGCCTAGTGGTTCGAAAGGTCCTCATTACCCGCGCCAATGAGGAGGAAATAGAGGTACAACGGGACAACTTTTCTACACAAGATGTCATATCAAGGATAAGGTATGTAGTGTTGTTATTGATAGTAGGAGTTGTGCCAATGTAGCTAGTCTACTCATGGTAGAAATGCTAGAGTTCCCAGTTATCAAACATCCAAGACTTTATCGCCTTCAATGGTTGAACAATGAAGGGGAAGTCCGTGTGTTTAGACAAGTAAAAGTACCATTCCGAATTGGTAAGTATGAAGATGAGGTTACTTGTGATGTAGTGCCAATGCAAGCAAGTCACCTCATTCTTGGACGTCCTTGGCAATATGATCGCGATGTCAAATTCAAGGGAAGAGCTAATAAATATGTCTTTACTCATTGTAATAGAAAGGTGACACTTATACCTCTCACTCCAAAACAAGTGTATGAAAATCAAATGAGACTCCAAAAGGAGTATGAGCTAGAACTTGAGAGGAAAAAGCGAAAGAAAAGTGAGGGAAAAAAAGGAGAGAGTAGAGCCGAGCCCCTAAGGAAGAAAAAGGCAACAAGTGGGTCGGCTATGAGAGAAGAAAATAAGGAGAAATTAAGCTTGCTAGCAAAAGCCAAAGATGTAAAGCGAGCTTTATTTTCCAATCAACTCTTACTTGTGCTTGTATGCAAAGAAGGGTTGGTCACTTCATCCATACCTATTGACTTCTCGCCTTCTACTATTTTACTTCTCTTGCAGGAATTCGAAGACATATTTCCTGAGGATGTACCCGATGGACTACCACTGCTAAGGGGAATCGAGCACCAAATTGACCTCATTCCTGGAGCACCACTGTCTAACAAACCTGCCTATCGAATGGGATCTGAGGAAACAAAGAAATTGCAAAAGCAAGTGGACGAATTACTAAGAAAAGGTTGGGATCGAGAAAGTCTAAGTCCATGTGCTGTACCAGTGATTCTCGTGCCAAAGAAAGATGGAGTTTGGAGAATATGCACCGACTGTTGAGCAGTCAATGCGATCATGGTAAAATATCGTCATCCTATCCCTAGGTTAGATGATATGTTAGATGAACTGCATGGTGCCATTATCTTTACTAAAATTGATTTGAAAAGTAATTACCACCAAATAAGAATGAAAGAGGGAGATGAGTGGAAAATCGCTTTCAAAACTAAACATGGTCTATACGAGTGGTTGGTGATGCCATTTGGTTTAACTAATGCACCTAGTACCTTCATGCGTTTAATGAACCATGTTTTGAGACTTTTCCTTGGGAAATTTGTAGTGGTTTATTTTGATGATATTCTGATTTACAGTAGAAGCTTAGAGGGACATCCTGGGCACTTCAAAACCGTTTTTGAAGTACTTCGAAGGGAAAGACTATATGCCAACCTTAAGATGTGCACATTCTGCACTGACCGTGTTGTATTTCTAGGATATGTTGTAAGTGCGCAGGGCATTCATGTAGATGAAGAGAAGGTCCAGACCATCCAAGAGTGGCCAACACCCACCTCTGTAAGGGATGTGCGCAACTTTCATGGATTAGCAAGCTTCTACCGCCGTTTTGTGAAGGATTTTAGCACCATTGCTGCACCTCTTATCGCCGTCATGAAGAAGAACGAGAAGTTCTTTTGGGGGGAAACCCAAGATAAGGCTTTCCAATTGTTCAAACACAAACTCACACATGTACCACTTCTTGCAATACCTAACTTTGATCTCACTTTTGAAGTGGAATGTGATGCATCAGGTGTAGGAATAGGTGCCGTACTCATGCAAGGAGGGAAATCGATCGCCTACTTTAGTGAGAAATTAAATGGCGCGGTTCTCAACTATTTGACTTATGGCAAGGAGATGTTTGTCCTCGTAAGTGCTTTGGAGACCTGGCATCACTACCTACGTGCCCGGGAATTCGTTATCAAAACTGATCATGAGTCTCTCAAGTACCTAAAAGGACAACAAAAGCTAAGTAAAAGACATGTCCGATGGGTAGCATTCATCGAGTCTTTTCCATAAGTCATCAAATACAAAACGGGTAAGTCTAATGTAGTAGCTGACGCTTTATCTCGTAAACACATTTTGCTCACTGCTTTAGATGCTAAACTCCTAGGTTTCGAGCTCATGAAGGAGTTGTATAAGGATAACTTGGACTTTTCGAACGCTTATGCGAATTGGAAAAAATTTGACTTTGAAAAATTCTTTGTGCGTGATGGATTTTTATTTTATCTTACCAAGTTGTGCATTCCCCGATGGTCCATACGTGACTTACTTGCTCATGAGTCACATAGTGGTGGACTAATGGGACATTTTGGTGTCACCAAGACATTAGCTGTATTACAGGAACACTTCCATTGGCCTCGCATGCGCAAGGATGTGGAGAGAATTGTTGAAAGATATGGCGTGTGCCACAAAGCTAAGTCTCGGGTCAACTCAAATGGTTTGTATACTCCTTTACCCATACCTCACCAACCTTGGGTTGATATTTTCATGGATTTCGTGCTTGGTTTACCTCGTTCTCAGCATGGCCATGACTCTATATTTGTTGTGGTAGATAGGTTCTCCAAAATGGTTCACTTTATTGCATGTCATAAAACGGATGATACTTTACACATTGCTGACTTATGCTTTAAAAAGATTATTCGTTTGTATGACATACCTAGCACTATAGTGTCCGATAGAGATGTTAAGTTTTTGAACTATTTTTGGAAGTCTTTATGAGGTCGGATGGGAACCAAACTGTTGTTCTCTACCTCTAGTCATCCTCAAACGGATGGACAAACTGAGGTAATCAATAGGACCTTATCAACACTCCTGCGTGCCATCATAAAAAAAAATCTCAAGTCATGGGAGGAGTGTCTTCCACACGTGGAGTTTGCATACAATAGGGTTGTGCATAGTGCTATACAATTCTCACCTTTTGAAGTTGTGTATGGTTTTAACCCTTTAACTCCCTTAGATTTGTTGCCATTACCTTCTTCTGAGCATGTGAACTTAGATGACAAGAAGAAAGCTGAGTTCGTGAGATCATTGCATGACAAGGTTCGTATCAACATCGAGAGGAGGACAGCCCAATATGTCCAACAAGCTAACAAGCACAGACGCAAGCTTGTCTTTGAACCTGGTGATTGGGTTTGGTTACACTTGCACAAGGAGAGATTTTCAAAACAACGACAAAACAAGCTGTCACCAAGTGAAGATGGGCCTTTTCAAGTCATTAAGCGCATCAACAACAATGCATACTGCTTAGATTTGCCTGGTAAGTATAATGTTAGTGTTACATTCAATGTTTCTGATCTGAACCCGTTTCTTGCAGGGGACGAGTACGATTTAAGGGCAAATTCTTTTCAAGAGGAGGGGAATGATGCGATTAAGCACGAGACCCATGGTGTTCCAGTAGACTCTGTCAAGGTGCCCCAAGACCCAGTGACACAAGCACGAGGTAAGAGATTCAAGGAGTCGCTTCAAGTCTTGGTTCATGCCGTCCAAATCCAAGAGAAACCGCCCATTGAAGGAATTGAGTTGGAAGATCTTTGCAAGACGACTAAAGTGTTGCTTACAATTGAAGATGCGCTCCGCTGAGTTGTACGGGGGTCTCACACACTTGATTGTGGTGTCCTCTACCGTTGAATCTATTCTTGAGTGGTCCAAGTTTGGGTTCAACTCCATCAAATCATCAACGTGTTCCTCTAGATCCGAAGTAGCTTTTGTGTCTCGCATCATTTGAGTTCGAGTTATTTTTAACTATATCAAGTCGAGTTCGAGTCTGAAATTTGAGGCTTGTTCGTGCTCAATCTTGAGCTCGAGTAGTGCTCATAACCTTCAAGCTCGAGCTCGAGTATGGTACTACTCGAGCTCGACTCGGCTCGACAGCATCCCTAGATCACACGCCTTGAAAACTCTCTTAAATTTTCAAAAAAATTAGTCTTAATATTATTCTTGTAATAGTTTTGTAGTAGGTTCTATACACTTCTAATCCTCATTTCTCCAACTATCTTAAGGTGTGATTTGAGGTTGGTATGGAGTATACTCAAGAATCTGTTATCAAGGTGATGAATCAAGACTATGTCAACTTGGACCGCTTAGATGGAATCAGAACCAATTTCAATAGATGGAAGGATAAGATGATCTTCTTCTTAACAGCTCTGAAGGTGGCATATGTGTTGAACCCGAATCTTCCAGAAATTTCTCCTCCAAAGGATGACGATTCAGAGGTTTTGAAAAGACAAAGGAAAAAGCGTGAAAAAAATGAAGTAGTGTGTAGAAGTCACATCCTCCATACTTTGTTAGATAGTTTCTATGATTTATTCACAACCGTCAAGTCACCAAAGGAGATTTGGACTACCCTTGAGTGTCAACATGTCAATCAAAAGCAAAGCTCGGATAAGTTTCTTATCAAAAAATGCTTTGAGTTCAAATTTATAGACAATTCCTTACTTTTTGATCAAATTCACAATTTGCAAGTGATTGTTTCAAAACTCAAAGATTTAAGTATTGAAATTTCTGAAGCATTTCAAGTGGGGGCTATTATTGCCAAGTTGCCTCCTAGTTGGAATGCCTATCAAAAGAAATTGCTCCATTTTGAAACATCTAAAGATTGAAGAAAATGATAGAATCTTCAAAACAAATATGTGAATGTTGAATCTAAAGTGAAAGTGAAAAATGAATCTAAGGTGAATTTTGTGAACGAAAGAAAGTCTTTCAATTTCAAAAGGAAGAAACCTAATAATACTAATTCTAATGACAATAAGAAGAAGAATAGAAATTGTTATAATTGTAGCAAGAAAGACCATTACAAATTTGAATGCCAATATGATAAGAAACAAAAGACTAGTGGTGCTTCAACCACAAATCTTGTTGACGAAATTTCAGAAATTGTTGCTATGATGTTACTTGGTACATTGACTGAAGTGAACATGACCACACCTAATTTTTCCAAGGATTGGTGGTATGATTCTGATGTAGCCATTCATGTGTGCAATGACAAGAATCAATTCAAGAATTATGAAATTCTTGAAAAACATAAAGTAGTGATGGCAAATGGTGTAAGAGCTAAAGTGCATGGCAAAGGTTGTGTGAATATTCAATTCACTTCCGGCAAGAAATTAGTCCTCACTAATGTACTTCATGTTCCGGATATTGTAAAAAATCTTGTTTCTGCTAATATTCTTAACAAGAAAGGGTTGAAAGCTGTACTAGAGGCCAATAAAGTGATATTGTCCAAGAATGGTGTATTTGTTGGAAAAGACTAATCTTGTAATGACATGTTTAAATTAGTTATCAAAGAATGATGGTGTTTCTCTTTATTTTGTTGATTTTTCTTATTCTTTGTGGTATGGTAGATTAGGACATGTTAATCACAAAATGCTACAACATATGTCTAAAAATAGTCTAATTTCATTTAGTGACAATGTGAATAAGAAGTGTGAAACATGTGTTCAAACCAAGATAACAAGATAGCTTTTTTCTAAAGTTGAAAGAAACTCACAATTGCTTGATTTTGTACATTCGGATGTTTGTGAGTTGAATGGAATTTTAACAACAGGTGGTAATAGATATTTCATCACTTTCATTGATGATTACTCTATGTGTGCATGTATATTTGATGAAAATAAAAGATGAAATCTTTTATATGTTTAAAACATATAAGTCTCTTGTTGAAAATCAATTAAATAGAAAAATCAAAATATTGAGAAGTGATAGAGGTGGTGAATATTTTTCTACTGAATTCTCAATTTTTTATGAAAATAATGGTATTGTACACCAAACAAGTGCTCCTTATACTCCACAACAAAATGGTTTGGTTGAAAGGAAAATTAGAATTTTCGAAGATATGGTAAATGCCATGATTTTAAGTTCTGGTCTATCAAAGAATTTGTGGGGCGAAACTTTATTGACTGCATGTCATGTGCATAATTGTATTCCCTCCTTGAAGACTAAAGTGTCTCCATATGAGTTGTGGAAGGGAAGAAAACCAAACTTGAATTATCTAAAAGTTTGGAAATATATAGCTTATTATAGAGTTTTGGAAAATAAAAGAATAAAATTGGGATCTAGAGCACTTAAAAGTGTGTTCGTTGGCTATACTAAAAATTCTAAAGTCTATAGGCTACTTGATCTTGATTCTAATGTGATTGTAGAATCAAGAGATGTTGAATTTTTTAAGAATAAGTTTCTCAATAATTCAAGAGTTCAAAATGATCCACACAATGAACCAAGTTCTTCCAATAGTGCTGATCTTTCTAATGGTACAAAAAGAAAGGAAATTGACACTCCTTTTGAATCAAGGAGGAGTCAGAGACAAAGAAAAGAAAAGAGTCTGCTCTCTGATTTTATCTCTCCACAAGCTATTGTCTTTCTTGTTAAAGGCAATAGAGATTCTCGACTAAATAAAACTCCAATTTTATTTAGTGTAGAGGATGATTCTAAAACATTTAGTGAAGTTATGAAATTTAGAGATTCAATATTTTGGAAAAAAGTGGTAAATGATTAAATGGATTCATTGTTATCTAATGGTATGTGGGTCCTAGTTGATTTACCACATGATTCTAAACCTATTGATTATAAGTGGGTATTTCGAAAGAAATATTCCACCGATGGATCCATACTAACTTATAAAGTTAGGTTGGTGGACAAAGGTTTTAGATAAAAGGAAGGTGTTGATTATTTCGACACATATGCACCAGTTGCTAGAATTGCATCCATTAGAGTCTTTTGGCTTTAATTTCAATCTATAGCCTTTGTGTACATCAAATGGATTTCAAGACAGCCTTTCTAAATAGTAATTTAGATAAAGAGGTGTATATAGTACAACCGGAGGGCTTTGTACTACCTGAAAATGAGAATAAGATGTGTAAACTTGTAAAATCATTATATGGATTGAAACAAGCACCTAAACAATGGTATGAAAATTTGAAACTGTTTTACTTTCACATGGATTTAGGTCAAAAAATGCCGACAAGTGCATTTATTCTAAATTCAGTGACAAGTATGGAGTGATCATTTGTCTCTATGTAGACGACATGCTAATTATTGATACTAACTATCAAGCAGTAGTAGATACTAAGAAGTATTTTTCTGACAATTTCAAAGTGAAAGATCTTGGAAAGGTAGTTTCTATCTTAGGGATTAAAGTTAAGAGGCATGGTGGGGCATTTGCATTTTCACAATCGCATTATGTTGATAAAATTTTGAAAAAGTATCAACATTTGAATGTGAAAGAGGCTATTACTCCTTTTGATCCTAATTTCAAATTATATGAGAATGCTGGTAATCCAATTATTCAGTTAGAATATGCAAGTATAATTGGAAGTTTAATGTATGCAATGAGTTGCACAAGACCAGATATTTCTTATTTAGTATGTAGATTAGTTAGGTATACCAAGAATCCTAGTAAAGATCATTGGAAACCAGTGACTAAAATCCTTGGTTATCTTAAAAGAACCAAAGATTTGGGTCTATTCTACAATAATTTTTCAAGTGTTCTTGAGGGGTATACAAATGCTAGTTCGATAACTAGTATTGGTGATCAAAATCCTACTAGTGGATGGATCTTTATGCTGGGTGGTGGAGCTGTTTATTAGGTTTCTAAGAAATAAATTGTGATTACTCATTCTACCATGGAAGTTGAATTCATAACTTTAGCTTCTGCATGCAGAGAAGCGGAGTGGCTTAGAGATTTATTATTTGATATAAATCTGTGGCCTCGTCCTATACCTGCAATTGCTTTGTTTTACGATAGTGAGACTACTATGTCCAGAGTATTGAACAAAGTATATAATGGTAAATCTATACATATAAGTCTGAGACATACCTATATTAGACAAATGTTGAATGATGGCGTTGTCACAATTGTGTTTGTAAGAACTTATACTCCCTCTGTCCCAGAAAGTGTGTCGCGTTTCGGGAATTGCAATTATTATCAATAGTGCAAGACTTTTAGATGATTTGCTTTTGAGTTCCGGCAATACCCCGTTGACTTTTAATGTATTCTTATGTGATTGAATGATAAAAGGGCCACAAGTTGTGATAAGACATGTGGGGCCCAAAAGATTGAAATGTCTCCACACTACTTTAGAAGAAAGTGCCATGCACGGTGTTATTTGCATTTCACGTGGGAGCCACGAACTATTAAGTGCATGTTGGTACTTGGTAAGTGAGAGGAAATGTGTCACATTGGACCCACTAAAAGATAAGAAAAGGCGGTCACATTGAAGGGTATGGAGCGGAAATGTGCGAAAGTTTTCATTGCCAAATTTAGTAAGTGACAATTATTTTGGGACAGATAAAAAAGGAAAGTATGACACTATCAATGGGACGGAGGGAGTAATAATTTAGCGGATCCATTGATTAAAACTCTTGCGAGAGACTTAGTGAATTCGACAACGTCGCGAATGGGATTAAAACCCTTTGTCTAGAATCACTAGTAATGGTAACCCAACCTTCTTTTAGTAGTACTAGTTTGAAAGGTTTAAAGTTTAAAAATAAGTGATTGTGAGTGCTACAAATTTTTGTGTATATCATTCCAAGGGGTACGGTAGTACATCACGTTACTCTTAATTGAGCAGGTTGGGAAATATTCT